ACACATCCACCGCGCAATCACTCGCGGGCGGTCTCATTAGGAATGGAATGAACCCAGCGGCGGTGTTTCCACCACTGGCCGTTTTCTAACCCCAACTGGCTGCAACATTATCTGCACGCTATCCATTACTTCTTTGAAAAAAATCAAAACCCAACGAATTGCCGTCATCAAATCCCGAAGATCACTGCCAGATCACGTTCATTTCAGCTTAATTTTAGTTGACAAGTTCACATTGAAGCTCGTCCACTCAGAAACGTCAGTTGATGACGTTCAGAACCTAAGCCCCTCTATAATCAACTGAAAACCAAAGCAAATTCAACACAACAGATAGAGCACCTTGATAGACAACAGAACAAAAGCACCCAACCGAAAACGCCTTACACAAATCGATGGAGGGTATAGCCAACTTAGAAGAACACCGGAAGAAAAACGAAAATTTGCGTTTCTGCGGGTTTATAACGTAAAATTTATAATGGATCAGGACCGGTGACCGAATAGTCACGAATCTCCTCATTTCCGTACATAAATTTTAGTTACAGACTGACGTCCCCTCATTGTTCTCTCAGAACTTGAGTAGGAGAAAGAAATTGAGAAGTCGTCGACCTTGAGATAAGGACTGAAATAAAAGGGCAGGGGATAGACCTTCATGACTCGAATAATTTATGCAAAGTGCTGAAATTGGGTCAACTAGCTAGTAGCACCGATTGGTTTATAGCCTCGAGGTGATGCGAAAAATTAAAAGCCATGGTGAAAGAAAAACATGCTAAAATCGAGGATGTTAAGTGAGCATTATTAAGAGGGGAAAAAAATCAATGTTCTGCCACAAAAAAAAAACACTAAAAACCAACCTCTTCAAGACGGTGACATCGTCATGGCATCCGAGCGCTCTAAGGAGCCTGTTTTTCTCGACATGAACTGTTTCCAGCTTATACAATTCCATCACCTAAAACATCTTTCGTAGACGGTTTAGTAGTAGTTCTGGAATGAGCATAAAGCTTTCGATGTTGAAGACACAACGTACGCTCAGCATTCCTTGGCATGTCGTAGGTTAACGAGCCCCCAGCTGTCTAAGGCCGCGTTCATACCGTGCGACGTCTTTTGCGTAAGTTGCGTAAGTTGCGTAAGCTGCGTAAGTTGCGACTGAAGAACACATACGTATCGATCCAAAGAAAGCTGCGTAAGTTGCGTAAGTTCGTAAGCTGCGTAAGTTGCGTAAGCTGCGTAAGTTGCGTAAGCTGCGTAATTTGCGTAAGCTGCGTAAGTTGCGTAACCGACGACAACTTCGAGAAGAATAGATACGTATCGATCGGTTAGCTGTCGTCGGTTACGCAACTTACGCACTTACGCAGCTTACGCAACTTACGCAACTTACGCAGCTTTCGTTGGATCGATACGTATGTATTCTTCACGAACCAGTCGCAGCTTACGCAACTTACGCAGCTTTCGTCGGATCGATACGTATGTATTCTTCACGAACTAGTCGCAGCTTACGCAACTTACGCAGCTTTCGTCGGATCGATACGTATGTATTCTTCACGAACTAGTCGCAGCTTACGCAACT